TTGAAACAAAGAACATTTATTTTTCTCTCTTTCTATTTAAGAGGATGTTCCACTCACTCGGTTGATTTCACCAGTTTGTAAAGGACACTTCATAGTATATTACCTAACAATTTTTGTCGGTTCCCGGATCTGCATTTTCTGATTAAAAAATTTTATAAGTTTTTTTCGGGTTTTTTTTGCCAAAAAGGTTCAATAAAAATTTAAATTTTTGATATGAAGAGTTGATCCTCGCGTGGTTCGATAGAAGGCATTAAACTGTATAAAGAGAAAAAGTTTTCATTGTTCTCGAATGAAGTCTGACGCAGAAATTTAGCTTTCAATTTCCTAATAGAATTTTAGAGCTCAAAATATTTGGAAAAAGCATTACTGCTAGTTTTGCTCGAACTAAGCATTTTAGGCAAAATTCTGGGTACAAAAGATGTTCAGAGCCGAATCCCGGAGTCCCGCAAGAAAGCTTTTATCAAAATTTTCTTTTTTGACTTTTAAATTTTAGAAACAGTAAAATTAAGCTTAGATATTAACAAAACAAAATGCCGCGAAACGCGCTCTTGAGGGACTCCGGGATTCGACGAGGCCTGTCATTTCATACAGTGAAGGTCTATAGTATAACCATGAATTCATAGTATGGAATTATCGTACTAACATTACACATACATAGTTTCACATTTTCACAGTATAATACTTTCATAGTTTCATAGTATCAAGACAAGCTTTATAATTTCATATCTTCTTCATCTCAGAAGAAATAGTGCAATGGTGTTTATTAACTCACTCTTATGCTGCCGCCTCCTGCCGAAACTATGTATGTGCGGTAATGGTATAATAAGGTGATACTATGAACTCATTATTATACTATAAACCTTCACTTTATCAATTGACAGCTATGGATTCGACTTTGACAGCTTTTGTACCCAAGAATTTTGCCCTAAAATGCTTAGTTCGAGCAAAATTAGCCGTAATGGTGTTACGAAAAAATCTTCTCTCAGCCGAAACCTAGCCAAATTTTCAAGTCTCGATCTTTTTCCTTGTATTTTCCCAGTTTGTAGAGGACACCTCGAAGTATATGTGCTGAAGGTATGAACGTAGCCTGTGTTCTAGCCCATGAAATTTTCTATCAGATGAAGTTTTGCTTGATTTGTTAGGATAGATTAACATTAATTAGTACTGATTAGCCAATAACAGAAGGAAAGAATAAAACTTTTACATATTCTTAAGGGGAGGTCCTCCCCTCTCCCCCCCATTTAGATTTTCTTCTAACGTTCCTAGTTTGTAGAGGATACTTCGAAGTGTATGTCTTGAAATTTTTCGGGCTTGCTGACACTATCTGACTGAGCAAAGAAATAATTACTTAAAAAAATATCCTTAAATTTTTCAACAAGGAACTATTATTAAAAACTTCCTGTCCATTCTCCATTCATCATAAAAGCTTGGTTCCATCGGTTAGCTTCTTCCATAGATCGATAGGAAAATGTGTGGAGGATATTTACTACTAGAGAATACGTAAAAATGTTTGTTCTATTCTTCCTGCTATTGACTAATTAGTACTAATTAACGTTAATTTAGTCTAATCTACTAGCTTAGCCCCATTTATAAAATAACGCCTCAATGAAAAACTTCCAGTAATAGCTCATCTGATAGCGAATCTCACGGGCTACAAGACCGACCATCATAGAAGTTTTAGAATTTGACTGAATAACAACAATAACAATTTAGCTGAACTTTTTAATAATAGTCCTTGTTCGAAAATTTAACGATATTATTTTAAGTAATTAATTTTTTTCTCAGCCCGATAATGCCAGTAAGCCGAAAAAACTTCAGAACATATACTTCGAAGTATCCTCTACAAACTGGGAGGGTTGAAGAAAAAATTTAAAACTTGAAGACATCACTGGTTTTAGCCTCAGCGAAGATTTTTTCACCTAATCTTACGGCTAGTTTAGTGCAAAGCAAGCATTTTGAAGCAAAACGCTGAGTACGAAAATTGTTCAGAATCGAATTCTGCAGTCCCAAACGAGAGGTTGTTTTAAAACTGTCCTTTTTTGATTTTATATTAAATTTTACGGTTTTTAAAGTTTTAAAATTTCGTATTTTTCAATTTGAAAACCAAAAAAGGACAATTCTAAAAAAGCCTCTCGTTTGGGACTGCAGAATTCGATTTTGAACAAGTTTCGTATCCAGATTTTTGCTTCAAAATGCTTGCTTCGAACGAAACTAGCCGTATGGTGAGGTGAAAAATACTTTTAGCTCTAAAACTTTTAGCAACATTCAACCCGCCCGCTGCAGGCTGCAGCGGGCGGGTGAATGTTAAACTTCATTCGGGAACGACGAAAAGCGTTTCTCCTTATTCAAGTTAATGTTCTCTATCGAACTACGGTAGAATCAACTATTCATATCAAAAACTGAAGTTTATTGAAACTTTAAAATACGCTAGAAAACCGGAAAAAAAATTCAAAATTCTTTTATCAGAAACCTCAAATCTGAGAACCAAAGCTTCGTTTTATCATCGATAAAATGCAGCAACAAAATACAGTTCTTTCTCGTTTGGACACTTGTGCCTTTTTTCTGTCTGTCAGTCGATGGAGCATGGTGTTCTGTATATGTTGCTTTCAAGTTAGATCTCTATGAAATATGGCATCCTTTCCTCAAATTTTTGGGCTGGTAGCGAGATAAAGGGTAATAAACGAAATCAACATAAAAGTTTTACTGTGCATATATACTCTTCAATTTTTACGATTTTTAGCAGCTAGCTGCTAAAAATAAGAACGTGTTTTATCATATGGGAAGAGAGAAGAAAAAAATATAATTTCTCTTTTTCAGAGTGAACACGAACTTATATATGCAGAACGGAAAAAGTGAAAAACTTAATTTTTAAATGTTCAAAAGCATTTTTATGCAAAACCAATGTGATATTCAGAATCTACGTAAAAACTTGCATCGAATGATATATAATTCGATGTGTTTCGAGAAAAACGTTTTTGTCCAAAATTTTAGGCAAAACATCGGGGGGAGACCTCAGTCAAAAATTTCAATTGAAACTTTTTGTCTGCCTTCAAGCTCAAATTTAGGTGAACACCGTTTCTTGACATGCCCGATCCGAATATCTCGGTCTCCCAGCTTGAATCGTTGCGAGGAAAAAGTCGGTAGTTTCCATATGCGAATCAACTACAGTTGCCATTCATATATCGAAATCCTTGGATGATTGAAATAAATGTAAAACAGTAAAGGAGTTAAAAACTATCCTAAAAAACGTTAAAGTGGAGTTGTTCGCCGATGTTACACTTATGAAGGAACGCCAGCAAGTGATAAATCTGTGTAGCTTGGAGCTGGCATTGAACAGTCAGGACTTTTCTTGAAAATTCTATAACTTTGCAGAGGAAAACTGAGAGACATCTCATTTTAATCAAAAATTTTCGGGCTACTACCATGCCTCATTAAGAAAGGTTCTGGTTACTTTTTAGACTTTCTGAAAAATTGCTCTTCCAGAAATATCTGGAATTTAAACGAAAAAAATAGTCGTGAGGTGAACGTTCACAAATCGATGCTGAGGCGGTCTCTTACTCTTGAAATGTCATTTTGAATTGCAGGTATATATGGATGAGTACTATTACCATCATCAAACGTTTTCCTATAGATTTCAAGTGCTCGTAAATAAAATTCCAATGTACCTTGTGGATCATCTTCTTTTGAACGGATGTTTCCTAATTCATATAAACTTCGACCAATATGCTGATGGTCTTTGAATAATATTTGTTCTCTTAGATGTAAAGCTCGTTTACGATACTGCAAATTGTTTGTTAAACAATTCATATCATAATAAATTTGACCCATACGATAGAGGCCATATGCATAATCTGGATGGAATGCTGGTAGAATGTCTAATGCTTTTGTTGATAATCGATTGCAAGGTCATATTGACATTGTTTCTGGTATACTCGACTTCTACAGATATAGAAAATGGTCGGATAGAATATGGACTGTTCATCACACATTTTCGTCGTTTCGAAATATAATTTTAATGATTGCTCATAATTTTTCTCATAATAATAATTTTCGGCTTTCAGATCCATAATACCAATCGTGTGCATATGTGGGTGATCTATAGGCATGACTGCATTAGCTAACAAATACTGTTCAAGTGCATATTTATATTCTCCTTTTTTTGAATAAATAACACCAATAGCTGCTAGACATGCGACTAAATCCAACTGATTATCGTCATTTCAAATGTCAAAGGTGTTTCAATGATTATTCTTACGTTCTGAAACATATTTAACGCTAAATTATATTTACTTTATCCAGCAAAAATACATCGGCTTGTAAACGTAATTTCTGAAATCATTGCATATTCCAATGGAAAATGTTCAGCGAAAATGCACGATGAAAGATGACAAAATTTATATGATTCACTATATCCACCTTGTTCATAATATACTTGACCAATTCTTATTAATACATTTGCGATATCAACAGAATTATTATTTTTGTATATTTCTTCTATTCTTGTCAACAATTCCATGAAAATGTTATGATAATCAAAAAAACAATTTTTTTCACCTTTTAAGCAAAATGGCAATTTGCAAGTAAAGCACTAGATGTTGGATCGAAAATCTGTT